GAGAAACTTGAAGCTTTGCTAGTCTGAAGTTGGAGACTTGATTAGGTACATGATAAAACAAGAAATCCTGGAAACGAGAGTGCCACAGAAGGTACACAGAGACAATCCCTAAAAACTAGACTAAAAAACAAAACTATTACTTTAAACAATGCAGAAATATTAGTGACTATACAAATGAAGGAAAAAGACTCCTCAGTTTAAATCCAGATAAATGTACAGAGTTAATATATTACCTTAATTATCCACAGGAAGACAGGGAGGGCAGTTACTTTCATATATAGGAAAGCATTCAAATACCACAGACACTAACTCTGAGGTCCCAGTTGGTAGACTTAACAAGGGCTTCAAAACAACTTATATAAATATGTTCAAAGAATTAAAGGAAACTTTTTTTTAAGGAGTAAAGATTTGTTTCTACCCATAGTTTCAGAGGTAAGCAGGCTCTGCTGTATTTAGGATTGGGAGAATTCAGAAACACTATGGCAGAAGGATGTTGGGAGAAGGCTGGTCACTCAGAGCAGCCAAGAAGCAGAGAAGGGGAAAGAGAGAGAGGACAGGACCAGGAACAAAAGATACCCTTCAAGGCCCCCAGGGACCTAGTTCCTCCAACTGAACCTCTCACCTTCTGTTTCCAACGCTGTCATGATCTCACCAATGCATGAACCCACTGATGAAGTTAGAGCCATCATGATGTAACCACCTACTGAAAACCCTCACCTCTGAACACGTGAGAATTTGGAAGAACGAAAAGGAAACTATTTCAAACAATTAAAAGCAATTATAAGGGCTGGGAATTTAGCTTAGCTGCACAGCACCTGCCTGGCAAGTATGAAGTCCTGAGTTTGATCCCTGGTACCAAAGCAAACAAACAAACAAACAAACAAAGAAAAAAAATTTTTAAATATGGTGATGATTCAACAATATACAATCATTCTCCACCAAAGAAAATCTGTTCAACAGTGCAACAGTGGCAACAGTGGACAGCTCTCTAGAGTTTGGGTGGTCTAACGGTTCATGTAGCTTACTAGTTAATTAGGTAAAAATATTTCTGGAGCAATCTCGATAAATTATTTTTAAAAACCCTAAAAATAAATTCCAATTGAAAATACAATCTTGCCAGGTGTGTTGGCACATGCCTGTAATCCCAGCACTCAGGAGGCCAAGGCAGGAGGATCACTACAAGTTTGAGACCAGCTTGGGCTACATAGTGAGTTCCAGATCAGTCTCAACTACATAGTGAGACCTTGTCTCAATAAAACAAAAAACAAACAAACAAACAAACAAAAATACAGTCTTCCACAAATGAGTAATTTACTAGATAGACTTAAAAGCAAATCCAGAATGGCAGAAGAATCGGTGCACTTGAAAAGAGATTTTAAAAAAAGGAAAAAATGGGGGCCAGGGATTTAGCGCAGTGGTGCTGCTGCCTACCTCACAAGTATAAAGTCCTGAATTTGATCCCCGATACCAAAAACAAAAAAACAACAACAACAAAAAAAACAAAACAAAAAAAAGGAAAAAATGAAGAAAAATTAATAGAGCCCTCAGCCATTCATGGGAAAACACCAAACATACCAAGACATGTGTAGTAGGATTTCAAGAAAGAGAAGAAATGAAAGAGCTGAAAAACTTTTTTGAGGAAATAAAGGCCAGGGCTGGAGATTTAGTTCAGTGGTTCCACCACCTGCCTCACAAGCCCAAGGTCCAGAACTCAATCCCCAGTTAAAAATTAAAAAAAAAGAAAGAAAGGCCTAATTTTGATGAAATTCCTAAGACAACCATACCAGGATACATCATACTGAACTGCTAAAGACAGATACAAAGAGAAAATACTGACCAGAGAAAAATGACTCGTTATAATTAGGGAAACAATAATATGACATATTCAGTGGAATGGCATACTGTTTGCCAAAAGAAAAACTTGTCAATGAAAAGTTCTATATCCAGCAAAGCTAACCTTTAAAAATGAAGATGAAATGAACACATTCCAGTAAACAAAAGCTGAACAAAATGCACTGCTGTCAGCCTTTCCCATGAGATGGAAATCATTCAAGGAAAAAAAAAAAAAAAAAAAATTAAAACAACAACAAAAAAAAAGGAAAATAAATGAAACTAAACCACAACTCAAATTCAGAGGAAGGAATTAAGAGCACCCAAAATGGTAAATATTTGAGTAAATATAAAAGAATCCTTTTTTCTAATTTCTTGCAAAGCATAGACTGCTTAAAGCAATAAGTATGATACTATTTTTGAGCTTATAACATAATTTTGTTTGTTTGTGGAGACAAGGTCTTGCTATATATTCCATGCTGGCTTTGAACACACAGCAATTCTCCTGCCTCACCCTCCCAAATGCTGGAATTTGGTGCATGCACCACACCTGGCACTTAGGTTTAATATGTATAAAAAAACAACAGAACGAGAGGGGGAAGAAACTAGGCTATATTGGAAAAAAAATTACTGTATTTTACCAGAATTAAGTCAGCATTGGCTTGAACTAGACTGTAATAACTGGACCGTGACTGGAAGGCTGAGGCAGAAGGATCCAAAGTTTGAGCCCAGTCTAGGCAATTTAGCCACCTGGTGAGACACTGTTTCAAAAAATTTTTAAAAGGGGACAGGGATGTACCTTGGCTCTGGGTTTAACTGGGGATGGAGATGAAGGGGTTGTAAGTAAATGTACTTATATTTATAGTAGTAACCCCAATTAAAACAATCGAAGTGAAGAGCAACTGATGAGTAGATAAACAAAATGATTATCATAATACTTAGTAGTAAAAAGCAAACTGTTATATTCAGTAATATAGAAAAATTTCAAAAAATACTGAAATACACATAAAAAATACACATGTAAAAACTATATTATATTAAGCTGAGTATATGATATTTCTAAAAAGACAAAAATAGATTAAAAAGATCAATGTCTGCCTGGGTCTAGAGTAGGGAACAAGAATTAGTCACAAACAAAGAATTTGGGAGAGGGCCAGGTATTTGGCTCAGTGGTTTGCCACCTGCCTCGCAAGCATAA